TTTTGCATTTTTGAAGTGTATAGCTTTTACAGCCATAAAAATTCAAAAGAAGATGAAATAGTGCTCTTTTAATCAGCCTTATTCAGGACAGTGTTGTCTTTAACCAGTTGAGGTCAAGATACCTTTGCTATTCTCAAAAAGACAGGAGATGACAAGTGTTGGCAATGACATAGAGAAAAGCAACACTTGTGCACTGTTGGCAGAAATATAAATTGGTGCAGCCATCATGGAAAACAGTATGGAGGTTTCTCAAGAAATTAAAAATACAACTACCCTATGAGACAGCAATCCCACTTCTGGGATATATCCAAAGAGAAAGAAATCTGAGTCTTGATGAGATGTCTGAGCTCACATGTTTATTGCAGTATTATTCACAACGACCAAGATATGAAAACAACCTAAATGTCCATCAATAAATAAATGGATAAAGAAAATGTGAAGTGAAGTGAGTGGCCTGAAACCTAGAGACAGCAGCACTGAGCTGCGAGTCTTGTTTTGGAAACTTTAGAAAAAACTTCCCTGATTTAATGTCATTTTTAGAGACTGCAAAATCAACTGATGAAAATTACACTGGAAATCCAGGTAAGTAGGAAGGAAGGGGATAAGATGGAAACCAGATTTGACAGTCATGAGTGTCTAAGTGCTATCTGGTGCCCAAAGGCTGGATGTGCTCACCTAGGGAGGTGGGGAGGAGAGGAAAAGCAGGTAAATGGGGAGGGATGGGGTAAAGAAGAAATTGAGGACAGTCAAGAGCAGAGCAGGAAAGAGCAGCATCGAGAAAGCTGTGGGCTGGAGGAGATAGAGCTGTGGTGTGAGCATCTGGGATGCCAAGTGGGAAAGAAGGAATGAAAGACAGTGAGAGGAGAGGGAGGGAGAGAAAGAAAGAAAGAGACAGAGAGAGAGAGAAAGGGACAGAGAGAATGAAAGAAAGAGAGAAAGAAAGGAGAGGAAGAGAGAGAGGGAGGAGTGAGAGAAAGAGAGAGGGAGAGGGAAGGAGAGAATGAAAGAAAGAGAGATAAAAAGAAAGAAGGAGGGACTTCCCTGGTGGTCCAATGCCTAAAATTCCCTGATTCCAATGCAGGAGGACTGGGTTTGATCCCTGGGCAGGGAACAAAATCCCACATGCCGCAACTAAGAGTCTGTGTGCCCCAATGAGAGTTTCTGTATGCTGCGACTAAAAGATCTCACCTGCTGCAACTAGGACCCAGTGCAGCCAAATAAATAAATAATTTTTAAAAAAAAAGAAAGGAAGGAAGGGGAGAAAGGGAGGGAGGGAGGAGCAAAAGGAGGGAAGGAAGAAAGAAAGAAAGAAAGAAAAAAGGTCAAGGAAGTGAGAGCTGAAAATTAACCATGGCTTGAGCAAATAGGAGGTCACTAATAACCTCGACAAGAACAATTTGAGAGGACTGGTGGGCTGGAAACCAATCAGTAGCAGGTTTAGAAGGACGTGGCATTGCAAAGTGCAGATAGGCTCAAAACAGTTGGCTGAAAAAATGAATAATCATGCCTGATTGTTCCCGGGTTGTCATGACAACCAGCTAAGACAATGATGATGAATGCTCTTTCTTTAAGTGACCTTTTTTATTGAGGCTTAATTTACATCCAGCCAAATTCACCCTTCATCAGTATACAGTCCTATGAGTTTTGAAAAATGCACACAGCTGTGGAACCATCTCCAAAATCAAGATATTGAAGAGTTCCATCAGCCCCAAGCAGTTCCCTTGAGACCCTTTGTAATTAACTCCTTCCGGCATCTTCAGCCCATAGCAATCTGTCCCTACAGTTTTGTCATCACCAGGAGATCATATAAATGGAAGTATACTGTATGTCCCCTTCATGGATCACAGCCTTGTCGTGGCAAGGGGGCTTGTGGAACTCAATGAAGCTATGAGCCATGCTGAGCAGGGCCACCCAAGATGGACGGGTCATAACGGAGAGTTCTGACAAAACGTAGTCCACTGGAGGAGGGAAGGCAAACCACTCTAATATTCTTGCTTCAAGAACCCCATGAACAGTATAAAAAAGCAAAAAGATATGACACTGAAAAATGAGCCCCCCATGTTGGAAAATGTCCAATATGCTACCAGGGAAGAGTGGAGGGCAATTACTAATAGCTCCAGAAAGAATGACGCAGATGGGCAAAAGTGGAAATGACAGTTGCGGATGTATCTGGTAATGAAAGTAAAGTCCCATGTTGTAAAGAACAATACTGCACAGGTACTTGGAATGTTAGGTCCATAAATCAAGGTAAATTGGACGTGATCAAGCAGGAGATGGCAAGAGTGAACACTGACATCTTAGGAATCAGTGAGCTAAAATGAATGGGAATGGGTGAATTTAATTCAGATGACCATTTAACCTACTACTGTGGGCAAGGATCCCTTAGAAGAAATAGAGTAGCCCTCAAAGTCAACAAAAGAGTCCAAAATGTAAGTACTTGGGTGCAATCTCAAAAATGACAGAATGATCTTAGTTTGTTTCCAAGGCAAACCATTCAATATCACAGTAATCCAAATCTATGCCCAAACCACTGATGCCAAAGAAGCTGAAGTTGGCCGGTTCTACAAAGACCTACAAGATCTTCTAGAACTAACACACAAACACAAAAAGATGTCCGTTTCATCATAGGGGACTGGAATGCAAAAGCAAGAAGTCAAGAGATATCTGGAGTAACAGGCAAATTTGGCCTTGGTATACAAAATGATGCCGGGCAAAAGCTAATAGAGTTTTGCCAACAGAACACACTGGTCATAGCAAACACCCTTTTCCAACAACACAAGAGATGGCTCTACACATGAACATCACCAAATGGTCAATATTGAAATCAGATTGATCATGTTCTTTGCAGCTGAAAATGGAGAAGCTCTAAGTTGTTTTTTTGTCATCAAAAACAACACTGGAAGCTGACTGTGGCTCAGATTATCAGCTCTTTATTGCAAAATTCAGTTTTAAATTGAATAAAGTAGGGAAAACCAGTAGGCCATTCAGGAGTGACCTAAATCAAATCCCTTATGATTATACAGTGGAAGTGACAAATAGATTCAAGGGATTAGATATGATAGACAGAGTGCCTGAAGAACTGTGGACAGAGGATCGTAACATTGTACAGGAAGCAGTGACCAAAACCATCCCCACAAAAAAGAAATGCAAGAGGGCAAAGTGATTGTCTGATAGTTCAGTTCAGTTCAGTTGCTCAATCGTGTCCGACTCTTTGTGACCCCATGAACCACAGCACGCCAGGCCTCCCTGTCCATTACCAACTCCCAGAGTCCACCCAACCCATGTCCATCAAGTTGGTGATGCCATCCAACCATCTCATCCTCTGTGGTCCCCTTCTCCTCCTGCCCTCAATCTTTCCCAGCATCAGGGTCTTTTCAAATGAGTCAGCTCTTTGCATCAGGTGGCCAAAGTATTGGAGTTTCAGCTTCAACATCGGTCCTTCCAATGAACACCCAGGACTGATTTCCTTTAGGATGGACTAGTTGGATCTCCTTGCAGTCCAGGGGACTCTCAAGAGTCTTCTCCAACACCACAGTTCAAAAGCATCAATTCTTCTGCGCTCAGCTTTCTTTATAGTCCAACCCTCCGACTGGGGTTGGAAATAGCTGAGGAAAGAAGAGAAGCGAAAAGCAAGAGAGAAAGGGAAAGATACACCCAACTGAATGCAGAGTTCCAGAGAAGAGCAAGGAGAGAGAAGAAAGAGAGAAGAAAGCCTTCTTAAGTGAACAGTGCAAAGAAGTAGAGGAAAACAACAGAATGGAAAAGACTAGAGATCGCTTCAAGAAAATTAGAGATACCAAGGGAACATTTCATACAAGGATGAAGCAAGCACAATAAAGGACAAAAACGGTAAGGACCCAACAGAAGCAGAAGAGAGTAAAAGGAAAAGGTGGTGGCAAGAATACACAGAAGAACTATACAAAAAAGATCTTAATGACCAGGATAATCATGACAGTCTGATCACTCACCTAGAGCCAGACATCCTGGAGTGTGAAGTCAAGTGGGCTTTAGGAAGCATTACACAAACAAAGCTTGTGGAGGTGATGGAATTCCAGCTGAGCTATTTCAAATCCTAAAAAATGATGCTGTTAAAGTGCTTCACTCAATGTCAGCAAATTTGGAAAACTCAGCAATGGTCACCAGACTGGAAAAGGTCAGTTTTCATTCCAATGCCAACCACTTTAGAAGTGGTTCCAGGTGACCCTGGTGGCTTCCCCAGATGGCTCAGCAGGTAAATAATCTGATTCCAATGCAGGAGATACAAGAGATGCAGGTTCAATCCCTGGGTCAGGAAGATCCCCTGGAGAAGGAAATAGCAACCCACTCCAGTATGCTTGCCTGGGAAATACCATGGACAGAGGAGACTGGCGAGTCCTGGGGTCTCAAAAAGTCAGGCATGACTGAGCAATTAGGCGCACACACACACACGCACATAAACACACGCACACACACACGCACACACACACCAGGGAACCCAGGAAGGGAATGGAAAGTGAAGCAGGGAAGGTAGGTAGAGAGTATATGGCATGTCATCAGGCAAGTTACCACAGTGGGAAACTGGAACACAGTGGGAGCCTCTGGGAAGCAGCATAGAATACAGATCTCTGTATTGCCCAACTGATGGGCAAGAGAGCTGGGGTATTTGTCTACCACCTCCTACCAGTCACTGGTTGACTGCACTCATGGAGGACGTTCTTTCCCTGGCATTTCTGGGCCTGGCTGTGTAGATCACACTGTGACTTCAAAAGCCAGAGACAGTCTTCAGCCAAATGAATGCAGAAGCTGTCTTTGGAAAGGCTTCCCAGGTGGTGCTAGTGGTAAAGAATCCGCAGGAGACTCAAGAGACACGAGTTCAATCCCTGGATCAGAAAGATCCCATGGTGTAAGAAATGGCACCCCACTCCAGTATTCTTGCCTGGAAAATCCCATGGGCAGTGGAACCTGGCTGGTTACAGTCCATGGGGCCTCAAAGAGTCAGACACAACTGAGTGACTGAGCACGCTCAGCACAGCTGGCCTTCGGAAGTTGGGCCAGGGTGTAATGAGGCAGGGTGACGATGAGGAATTGACAGCTCCTACGACAGAGCAGACCAACAGTCACATCATGAACTACCTTCTCTTAATTTTCATCTCTTTCTTGAGCTGTAAATATCAAATATTTTTATAGCAACTCAAGATTCTTTGCATGAAGACCTTCTAAATCATCTCCACGTTCCCTAATTGGGCTTGCCACTCACAGCTAATATTGCTGTATTTATAATTACTCTCCCCATTTAGGGTCTGAAGGTTTATTTTTGTATTTCTGAGACAGGCATGCAGATCCCAAGTATGCATGCTCCTATCACTATTTATCTATCTCTTTGGAAAAACAGAGTGTCATTTCTCTCTTTTTTTCCTCACCTTGCTGTGCCTACCTCTGACCCTTGGTCTGGCAGATTTCTTGTTTATTTTATTTTATTTACTTATTTTTTTGACCCAACCATGAAGCACGCAGGATCCTAGTTCCAGACCAGGGATTGAATGCACACTGACTCCATTGGAAGCAGGAATTCTTTTTTTTTTTTTTCATTTATTTTTATTGGCTGGAGGCTAATTACTTTACAATATTGTACTGGTTTTTGCCATACATTGACATGAATCAGTCATGGATTTACATGTGTTCCCCATCCCGATCCCCCCTCCTGCCTCCCTCCCCATCCCATCCCTCTGGGTCTTCCCAGTGCACCAGCCCTGAGCACTTGTCTCATGCATCCAACCTGGGCTGGTGATCTGTTTCACACTTGATAGTATACTTGCTTCAATGCTATCCTCTCAGAACATCCCATCCTCACCTTCTCCCACAGAGTCCAAAAGTCTATTCTGTACATCTGTGTCTCTTTTTCTGTTTTGCATATAGGGTTATCATTACCATCTTTCTAAATTCCATATATATGTGTTAGTATACTGTATTGGTTTCTATCTTTCTGGCTTACTTCACTCTGTATAATGGGCTCCAGTTTCATCCATCTCATTAGAACTGACTCAAGTGAATTCTTTTTAATGGCTGAGTAATATTCCATTGTGTATATGTACCATAGCTTCCTTATCCATTTGTCTGCTGATGGGCATCTAGGTTGCTTCGATGTCCTGGCAATTATAAGCTGTGCTGCGACAAACATTGGGGTGCACGTGTCTCTTTCAGATCTGGTTTCCTCAGTGTGTATGCCCAGGAGTGGGATTGCTGGATCATATGGCAGTTCTATTTCCAGTTTTTTAAGGAATCTCCACAAAAATTTAGAGAAGAGCTAACACCTATATTACTCAAACTTTTCCAGAAAATTGCAGAAGAAGGCAAACTTCCAAACTCATTCTATGAGGGCACCATCACCCTAACACCAAAACCTGACAAAGATGCCACAAAAAAAGAAAACTACAGGCCAATATCACTGATGAACATAGATGCAAAAATCCTTAACAAAATTCTAGCAAACAGAATCCAACAACATATTAAAAAGATCATACATCATGACCAAGTGGGCTTTATCCCAGGAATGCAAAGATTCTTTAACATCTGCAAATCAATCAATGTAATACACCACATTAACAAATTGAAAGATAAAAACCATATGATTATCTCAATAGATGCAGAAAAAGCCTTTGACAAAATTCAACATCCATTTATGATAAAAAAAATTCTCCAGAAAGCAGGAATAGAAGGAACATACCTCAACATAATAAAAGCTATATACAACAAACCCTCAGCAAACATTATCCTCAATGGTGAAAAATTGAAAGCATTTCCCTTCAAGCATTTCCCTTACAGTCAGGAACAAGACAAGGGTGCCCACTCTCACCACTACTATTCAACATAGTTTTGGATATGTTGGCCACAGAAATCAGAGCAGAAAAAGAAATAAAAGGAATCCAGATAGGAAAAGAAGAAGTAAAACTCTCACTGTTTGCAGATGACATGATCCTCTATATAGAAAACCCTAAAGACGCTACCAGAAAATTACTGAAGCAGGAATTCTTAACCACTGGACTGCCAGGGAAGTCCTCCAACCTTCTTGTTAATTTTCATTAATATCTTCCATGAACTTTATATTATTCCAAATATTCACAAACACATTGTTTCACTTAATCTGTGTGGTGGATGAGGATGACAAGGACCTCCTGCTTCTAAACATTCTGCAGATGAGAAAACTAAGGCTCAGACTTACTAAAAATCACTTAAGTTTCCACTGCATTGTTTAGGATACTTCTGGTTGTGACTAAGTAAAATCTCAAACTGAATTGGACATAGCACTAGCTGCCATGGACCAAACTGCATCCTTTTAAAATTCATATGCTAAAGTCCTAACCCCCAACATGACTGTATTTGGATTACGGCTTTTAGGAAGTAATTATAGAATATGCCTGCAAAGAAAGAGACCTGATTTCAATCTCTAGGTTAGGAACATCCCCTGGAGAAAGGGAATGACTATCTATTCCAGTATTCTTCTATTCTATGTATTCTAGGTATAGAATTCCAAGTATTCTATGACTTCTAGGCCAATATTGGACTCTCTATTCCAAAATTCTGGAGAATTCCATGGACAGAGGAACCTGATGGGCTGCAAGTTCATGGGTCACAAAGAGTTGGATATGACTGAGTGACTAACATTTTTCACTTCCAAGGCTAAATAAGGTCATAAATGTGGGGCCCTAAATCAGTAAAACTGCAGTCCTAATACAAAGAGAAAGAGAGAGGGACTTCTCTGGTGGTCTAGTGATTAAGAATCTGCCTGCCAAAGCAATGCAGGGGACAAAGGTTCTATCCCTGGTCCAGGAAGATCCCACTTGCCACATGGCAACTAAGCCTGTACGCTGCAATTACGGAGCCTGTTTCCTTAGAGCCCATGCTCCACAATGAGAGAAGCCACCACAATGAGAAGCCCACACACCTTAACTAGGGAGTAGCCACCACTTACCACAACCAGAGAAAGCCTATGCAGCAATGAAGACCCAGCACAGACAAAAATAATAAATAAATAAAATATTTTAAAAAGAGGAAGAGAGAGAAATCACCCTGTCTCTATGTTCTTGAAAAGACCCTGATGCTGGGAAAGATTGAGGGCAGGAGGAGAAGGGGGCAATAGAAAATGAGATACTTGGAAGGCATCATTGACTCAATGGTCTGAGTTTGAGTGAACTCCGGGAGATGGTGAAGGATAGGGAAGCCTGGCGTGCTGCAGTCCATAGGGTTGCAAAGAGTGGGACACGACAGAGTGACCGAACAACTATGTTCTTAAACCAAGGAAAGGCCATGTGCAGATATAGCAAGAAGGAGGCCATCTGAAAATCGAAAACAGAGCCCCCACTGGAAACCTGATTGACTGGAACATTGATGTTGGTTTTTTAGCCTCCAGAACTGTAAGAATTAAATGTCTGTTATTTAAGTCACCCAGTGGATGAACACACAAGCAAACATCATAAATGAAAAAGTAAGATGTGTTTTCAAGAACGACTTGGTATACTGGCTCAACGATGTGATCAATAATCTAGTTTCTTCCTGTCTCTCTGCTCTGCCCTTCACAATGTTGGCTTCAAACTATGGTTGGCCAATCCTATGATCAAAAACTGGCTGCCAATAGCTCTGAAGCTTCAAACTTCAGGGAGGGAGATAGAAATTCTTTGTTCTGAGATGCACTCTGATTGGCCCAGCATTTATCACATGACCACCTCTGGGCCAATCACAATAGACAGGTAGTAGACACCTTGAGGGGAGAAGGCAATGGCAACCCACTCCAGTACTCTTGCCTGGAAAATCCCATGGATGGAGGAGCCTGGTAGGCTGCAGTCCATGGGGTTGCTAAGACTTGGACACAACTTAACGACTTCACTTTCACTTTTCACTTGCATGCATTGGAGAAGGAAATGGCAACCCACTCCAGTGTTCTTGCCTGGAGAATCCCAGGGATGGGGAAGCCTGGTGGGCTGCCATCTGTGGGGTCACACAGAGTCGGACACGACTGAAGCGACTTAGCAGCAGCAGCAGCAGCAGATACCTTGAGGACCACAGTTGTGTGAGTGTTTGAGAGTTGAATTGGCCAGTTTTCCATGAACTATAATTTATTGGAAAAAAAACTGACAGGCTATGAGGATTCAACTTGGGTTCTGGCAAAAATTTTCTCAAAAATGAATGAAATGAACTTGCCTCTTCAAGGAAAACAGTTGACATAGTTTGTTGCCAGTGGTAAAATTTGAGCTTTCAGGAGAAATTTTTAATTTTGGAAGACACGTGTTGGTCACTATGTTTGACAATGTTCCAACACTGAAAGACTTTTCTGATGAGACTGGTGGTTATATTAACAAATGGAGCTTTTTAAAATATTATGTAATAAAAAGTGTTGATCTTCGGAAGATCTGTATGACTTAGTGAAGTAATATTATTCAAAAGACCAATGAACGATGTTATAAAAAGTGCGAGGTAGGACTTGTCCTATCAGTCTAGTAATTAAGACACGGTGCTTCCAATGCAGGGGGCATGGATTTGATCCCTGGTCAGGGAATTAAGATTCCCATATGTCTGCAATGTGGAAAAAAAAAGAAATACATGAAAAGTGCAAGGTAGACAAATGGATTTTAATAAAATAGAACTCACTGAAATGAAGATTCTCCACTACAACTGACCTTGACTAAATTACCAGTTTTTCAAGTTTTAGTATAGTGTTAAAGAAGAATTCCTGAGTTCCTGGGAAGTCTATTGAAATACTTGTTTCAGCTCCATGCTTGTAGGTTTTCTTCATAGACTTGGACTAAAATGACATTTCACATCAGAGTAATAAGGTAATCTCACAAATGAGAATACAACTGTCTTCTAGGAGATTTGCAAATGTGTAAAGCAATGCTACTCTTCTAACTAAATTTTTTGGTTTGGAAAATATAATAAAATATGTTGTTCATGTTACCATTCAATGGGTTTTATTGTTATTTTAAGTAAATTTTAAATGCACATTGTAAATTTTCTCAATTTTAATGTTTAAAACAGTAAGTATTGATAGCTACAACTTACATTTTAAAAAGCTCTGTAGGGTCCTCAGTAACTTTAAGAGTG